GAATATACAGAGATGGAATGAAATAAATTGTAGGTATATCGATTGTATGAAATATATCGTCGACGTATACTCTTATTATTCCATTAAGGTGGAGATTAGACTTGAAATCAAAGTTGCGTCCTATTTACTTCAAATTGAAATATAAACTCTCATGCTAAAATTTCAGTTAGTATTATGCTGGATTTATGCAGCAATTTTAAGGCATAAGTTTTAAGTCGTAAGAATTAAGTCATAAGTCATAATCATACAATTGTCGAAAGCAGTCATAAGTTTTTACAACTTAAAATGTATGACTAATTTGCTCTTCACATGAGCCGTGCGCTATCATTTGTAAACATGTAAAAAACTGATGAACAATAAGCAAAATGAGCTAATGAATAGGGGTGTTTTCTTTATGATATGCCAGTCCTTATTATTGCTGCAGGAATCACCATTTTCCCCTAACGACTTAAAACTTGTGACTTAAAACGACTTGAAAGTTAAGACTTAAAACTGATGCATAAATCCACCATGATTCTGTTGGTGATTCGTTTTGCATGCGATTCTTTTTAGTCAGGTTCTAGACTACTGCTTGAACATATTCCGATAAGTTTAGAAAATGTTCAAACTCACCTGTCGGATCTCATAAAATTTGCTCATAATATTCTGCACCAATTCTCACTTTTCAGTGGATAATAAATCAAGAATTGAATAAATAAAGTTTATAAACGGGTATAATTCTATCAAAAACTCAACTGACGATACCCTTCAAAGTAGTCGGTTAGCAACCCCTATTTTGTTTGTTGTCATGGAACTACGGACAGCTGACTATCACCAAGCAACCATGAATCTTCAGGATATATACAGGTGCTTAAATAAAGTATTGGTCAAACAGAGAACGATAGGTGTGTTAAAGCTCCAGTAGAAAGAATAAAAAAATGATGTTGATTGTTGGCACTCATTATAGAATTTTATTAAATATCAATGTGTGTAGTTATAGTGTAGGTAGTTAATGGTATAGGTCATACATAGATATTTTAGACTTTCAGTCGATAATTTCAAGGTGAGTAACCAACACGATCAGCTCTATAACCACCAAATTGATTACAATAGATATTTCAGTTTCAATTAGGTTCCAGACTTCGCCTACCTTTCAGCGATAAGTCGAGTATTTCAGGAACATTTATTTATTATGAAACATATGAGAATATCAAGAAGGCATTCTTTACTGGAAAATAGGAAAATACCGCTGAATTGTATACTGCTACCACCTCTTTCGCCGTCTCTTGAAGGAAATGGTGAAAAGCTGATAGAAACAGTGCTGGTGAGTTGAAAGGTCCTGTGATTTCACTTCAGGCGAAGTTAAAATTGTTATAACCGTGGTGAAACATGCCTATGGCAAACTAGACATCTTATCGAAACTAGGTTGAAGGAACATCTAAACACCAAATTAGAATACAGCTCTGAGTATAGGCATCTGGGTGAGTACAGGCAGTACAGGCTGAATGGCTTGATTTGGTAATTGCCATGGACTTGGATTTCAAGTTGTTGTTTCAAATTGAAAACGTCTTCGGAGATATTACTTATGATGGTAACTCTATAACGAAAAAGATAAATAAATTTGAATATGCTCCTAAATGATGCAAATTCTATTGTATATATAGTTGGGTTTTTCGCATAGTGTGACATCAAAAAATATCAAACCGGCATAACCGCAAGTTCGAGTCTTTATATACATATTCCAGAACTGATCCTATAATAATTCAGTCTATCGCGAAATATAGGCAAGCGATGCACAAATAATTATTTGAAAAAACATTCGGAAAAAAATATATCGGGACCTACTTGGATTTTCCCGATGGTTTTCCTAAATTATAGAAATATTTCTTATCGTTTTTTCCCAATCATAAATGTACCAAAAAAAATCGAATGTTTTTCTCAAAGAGGAATGTTTAAAATAAGAAAAAAATCTCAAAAAAGAATGCATATTTCGAAAACAATACTTATAGGTATAGGCAGGGCTGATTGAGATCATCTGAAAACAACTTAGGGAATCTGGCAATGCAACAAGAAATATATAGCTTTCTTTTAAAAGTAACAAAATTGATGTCCAGCTCTGGCATGACCATCAGAGATGCCGAGATCTTGGATAGTAGATTGTTTTATAAGGATAAAAAGTGTCACATTTGATCCGAATGAAACATGCTATTTTTTTCTGCAACCAGAAGAGTTAACTTAAATAAATATAAATGAAATAACCACCACTTGACAGATTATTATAATAATGATATGAGGAAGAAGACAGAAGCAAGACCTCAGACTACTTTACTTTGTTATAATCTGTATTGACATGCATCATGTATTGTCATCAAAGACTATGGGCACGAATTCAATACTAACCGAAACGTATATGCCGTGCAATGCGACAAATAATTCGTGTGGTGAGAATATTCTACCTGCAGTTACAGATCAGGTTTCTTTCAATTTCAAGGATGTTCGAATTGAAGTTCCAATATGAATGAAACCACAGAGTGACCAATTTCTGTATTCTATTGAATCGATGAATTCATTTGGACCAGGTGTCAGATCTAATAGCAAATACCGCGTCAGTGCCAGGCATAGGAAAAATAAGTGGGAAATGTTTGGTTAGTGAGCATATCAACAACAAAAATAGCGATTATTCATTTCTCTCCATATTCCACTGTGTTTGGCTCGACAATCAATTGGAGATAAACAAAATCGTTGTGTGAGGCAAAAAGGTATTGTTGGCCGTGATTATTCAAGAGCTAATTTTGGTATTAAAATGGACGAGTTTTGTGTCGGTTGCAGAAATAGTTATTTTTGTATCTAGAGCGCGAAATGCTACTTTGGTGATCGAGATCTGATTTTTTTAACGAGGCGTAGCCGAGTTAAAAAAATAGTCGAGATGACCAAAGTATTTCGCGCTCGAGTTGCAAACAACATTTTTTCTACAAACGTCGAAAAATATAATTCTAAATTAAAAATATGCTTAGCTTGATATAAAAAATAGTGTTGAACTGGCTTAAAAAGCCTCCCCCTATCCTCCCTAGGTACGCACGATGTTCCACGAACATATTAGGAATTTCCTTTCGTGCGCTTCAAGAGATAAAACAAAGTTATGGTTGAACATTCAGAAATGAATGATTTCGTGGATGTTTGCTCGATTGAGGACCATTAAGTTGGAATGAAAATATCTCATATATTTTACTTAACAATGCGCGAAGTAGGTACTTCGCGCACTGTTTTACTTCGCGCATTGTTATGTGCAAGGTATCATGGTAACGTAGGAAACTGAAAAAAAGTGTCACTTCGCAATTTGTTATCAATGCGCGAACCTTGTCATTTTTTGACGTTTATAGAAAAAAATATTTTTTTTACAAACGTCAGTGAAAGAATGATTTTTGACGCATGCTGTCAGTGTCTAAAATGTCAGTTTATGACACTGGTGTTAAAAGTAGTGCTAAAAGTGATTCATTTTTATGAGAAAATATGTAAACATAATTCAAAATGAAGTGTTTATTCAATTAAAAGTTCAATTAGCGAAACTACAATTATAATACGAAACTCCATGGCCATTGGCCATGTCTCATTGGTAGATGTGACAGAATTTATTTTCGTGAAGCTTGTACCAGGGCAGAGGGCAGAGAGCAATATTATCTGCCGAAGTTTTCTTTGTAGCGAGTCTTCTATATAACCCTCTGCTACTGTACTGGACTTCCATCCACCATGTCTTTTAATTGTAGTAAGACTAGCACCAGAGTCCGCCAACGAGGAGGAACGTCGGAAACAATGTCCAGTATATAGATGGGAATCAGGCAAATTAAGAAATTCGGCAATTTTGGCAGGCATCTTACCAAATGTGTTGATTCCAACTGGAGTTCTGGCACATTTATTTTTAATGCATTTTATAAAAACTCTAGAATGATTAATATCCACTGGACGAAGGGCTATGTACTTTTTGTAGTAGTTCATATACAATGTACCACTTACAACAAAGGTGCGTTGCACATTAGTTTTTGTGTCTGGTATATGCACAACTATAGTGAAGTTTCGGAATCGTCGATATTATTTATTGTCAAATCGCACAGTTCTTCTCGACGACAGGCTCCAAAAACACCAAAAATCGCAGCAACTTTCTGCATTAGATATATTTCATCTGGGGCTTCTGCGAGAAATTTGTCGATTTGTTCTCTTGTCAATACTTTTGACTTTTTCGGTCGATATCCTTCACCCTTTCGCTTCAAAAAAGCCACAAGCTTGTGATATCTGCTTATGTCATGATCATTTATGTTCATCATCGACTTTAACATAGAGTAATTCGACCAAAGCGTTGACGATTTCCATATTTTGGACTTTTCTCCAAAGTATGCAAGAAGCACCTTTTCACTGGACTCCTTTCCATTGACATTTTTCTGATCACACCATTTCAAGAAACGTTCGTTTGAAAACTCGTACTGTCGCTTTGACTTACTATAGGCAATAATTCAAAAACAGCTTTATTGGGAGCTTCTTCAATTTGCATTGAGGAACGAAGAAACGAGAAAAAATAATTCGTGATTTATTGACGTTAGTTGTCAAGAAAGATGAATCAACAAATTCAGTTTACCTTGGTAACTTGTTTCATGAATTGATTAGATTGAATTGGATTCAAAACTGATAATCTCGAGGCTGTTATTTGATCAATTAATAAGTAATGTAAAATAGTTATGCGTTAATTTGGTGTTTGTAGAAAAAATTGTGTATGATATATGTGCTAAAAGTGTTTCATCTTTTGTTCGAAGGGATGGAACATAAAATGTCACTTTTAGCACTTATATCATGAATAACTATTCAATGAACAGAATCCAATCGATATCACTTTCACTTATACAGAATTCAAGATCATTTTTAGAATTCCAAATACGTTTGATGTGCAGTTTAGACGGAACAGCCTGTATAATCTTGATTTGGATTTACTTTTCGTGTGTCCGATTAGGGTGGATAGTCTTGAGTGGACTACCCCGTATTTTGCACGGCACCCGAGCGTCTACGAAGAACGAATGAGCTGGCACATTTTGAGCATGTCAAAAGCACAAAGCAATCAATACTGAAGCTTTCGCGGGATGTTCTATTATCCCACAACAAACAGAAAAAAAAAAAACGAGAAAATCGAGAATACGCAACGAAGTCGGGTTTGGTCGTATTTGGATTGAAAAAAGTGTTGGTGGAAAGCATCCTGGAAAGCTGTGGATAAGTATAAAACGGAGAAATTTGAGAACTCTTGGGTCAATCCGAGCTTCCAGCGAAGCTTTGTCATCAATCGAAACACCGCAGTGGTTGTGAGTTGTTTAGTTAGTTGATATACCAGAGTGGCATATGGATTTTCAAAGAAACTAGGAAAAGTGTGGAAATGGCTTCGAAAGTGATTGTCAAGATACCTGTCGCTCCTTTTGGCAAGGTGAGTATTGTCAGGAAGGACAATAAATGAAAAAGCGGGAAAGATATTACGAGAAAAAGCGAGAGGAAAAGTCTATTCGATTTGATAAAACTACCTACTTACAAACAATATGAATAAAGGTTGTTAGCTTAAAAGGTCAAAGTTTATTCCGAGGTTTATACTATATGAGCAAGGGATGTATACGGGGTGGTCCACTCTATAGTATTGCAGAACTTTGACTATCGATGATCTTATATTCGAAGAATGAATGTTCCTATTGATATTGGTCGTAAGAATCTTCGTTTTCGAGATAGAAGGCGTTGAAATTGAAAATAAACGTACAATTACTTTTATAAATATCTAAGTAATCTTCAGTAATCTTGAATGATCTTTTCGACATCTAAATTGGGACGATATTATGATTCAGCATGGATATAACACATTTGAATTGAAATTAAACATATTCAAATTGAGACTAATATCACTCTCGAAATGGCAACAACCAAATTGAAATTCGGAAAAAATTATTCGGCACGGTTTCAAAAAATCCGAATTCAAACTAAACAAATTCAATTTGAAACCAATCAATTTCAAATCGGAACAAACCAATATGGAATTGATTCATTCGGTAGCAAATCTATTGAAGATACAAAACACGCGAAATTCCATGAAAACACATCAGTTGTCGAATTTGTATGTTCACCTATTTTTAATTATATACAGGTTGAGCCATTCCTATTGGGACATGGGCTAAAGGCGGATTGTTTGGAATATTGAAATATTGCTGTGGAAAAAGATACAGGACGTTGAAGTTGATTTTTTTTGTTTCTTTTCATGCTAATAATTCCACTGTATATAGTTATCAATTGTTATCAAAATCGACATAGAGGTTTATTTTTATACAGGGAATATTATTTTATGTATTATTCTACGGTTTGATGCAGGGGGTGCCACGTGCATGATTCCTGATGATGAAATCGACTGGTAACTTTTTTTGATGAAACTTTCTAGTGATTTCGATCAGAAAATTTTCATGTAATATTGATACTCTTGTTGAACACGATATCATCCAATCTTGAGAAAAACGTAACTAAACAGTTCAAAGTCTCGGAAGGGAAATTTAAATATTATGTATTTAATTCATGAAGAGTGTGCTTTGGACTGTCAGATAATCGTTGCTTGTAGATGACATTCCTTATCAGTGAATAAATTCTGCTGCGAGTTTATAGTTAATACTTTCCAATTGAAACGCCCTGTATCTTTTTCCACAGCAACATTGTATGAAGGCATATTTGATCCTATCGCCATATTTTGGTCCTGCCTTAGCCTATGTCCCAATAGTTATGACTCACCCTGTATATCATATTCCATATCAAAAAGGAATAGAATTACAAACGACTGTAAAGAACACGTATTCATAGTTATTATAAACATACTTCACATATCCATATCAATTAATTTCAGATCTCTATACATATATCTAAACATAATATCTATCTATATAGTACAATTATTTATTATAATTTATTTATTGAATTCTGTGCAATGATGTTGTATTCTTGAGTAATTTTGATCTTCGTTTCTCATTCCCGTTGTTTCTCTATATTGATTCTGATTCTTCACTCATCGATACGTCGTAGATTATTTCTTCATTCTGATGAATGTATCCGCCATTCTCTTCCAATCACCATCAGTATTATTAAACACCGCACAAATTTGATTTCTAATAATTTGTCTGCATCTTTTTTTATGGATGTCATATCAATTCAAACATTAGGCACGATGAATTAGTTTTTTAGTCATGAGATATAAAATTGAGACACCGCAACAATTTCTGAAATATTGAACTTTGAAAATTATGGGCTGGTCAATTTAATGCTGAATCCAGTTGTCGATTATAAAAATAAATACAGGATATCGAATTACTATAACTTGTAGGTGAACAAGACGAAATCTGGCATAGTCAACGGAGACATGGTTGTGACTAGACCCCAGGACAGTCCTCCACCAAGATCTGCAGACACACCAAGGGGTCCGGATTGTTCCAGAATAACTCAGCTCGACCAAAACATAAAATTTCTTCAGGAACAGCATCAGCTTATGCTGTCAGGATTGCACAATGAAATTGAGAACCTGAAAGTGAGGAATAGAGGTAAAAGAAATTTGTATCTATTTATATATATTATATCTTTCTTGATTTTTCTTCATTTATTATCCAGAACTGCAGTTTCAACTGGTTTTTGTGAAAGGTATATCTCCCAGTTCTCCTTCTTCTCCAGAAGATGACAGCAAACATAAGGTGAGTTTTTAGAAGATTTCTGAAATTTTTCAATCACAATTATTTTGCTATAGATTTATACAAGCCCCAAACCATTCAATGTAACTCCGCTTCAAGTGGAGATACTGGAGAAGGAATTGGGAGAGTTGAAGTTGCATATGCAGGAAACAGAAAGCAGGAATGTTTATCTATCAGCAATAGTCGATGAACAGAAGAAGTGAGTAAAAATCGAAGACTTCTTTCAATAAATGCAGTTTTTTTTCATCAGCAGAAATAAAAAAAATCAATTTCTATTTTCATGTCATATGGTAATATTGGTACTATCTCGGTGTCGGTTCTTTGAAGTTCTTTGAGTTCGTGCAAGTGGCCAATATTCCTTGCTCGTCGGGCTCCTTTTAACTTTGGATAGATTATACCTATACCGGGTGGCTACGGAAGTATTGCCTACGGAATATCTCAGTTATTGTATGAAGTAGGTTTGTAAAATTCGGAGCGTCGATATAATGACATAAGAGCTAGAATTTGAGCATTGACATGTCGAAGTTAATTTCCGGTCTGACCGGAAGTAACATCAACTTTCTTATTTTGAATGGAAACCCTATTTTTTTTTCTTCATTCAATTTCCTTTCTAATGACATATCACAAGTTGGTATCTAACCAAAAACTAGATCAGAAAAAAATTATTATTGAAATTCACCGAGTAGGCCGTGGAAGCAAAATGAAAGCCAAAAATTGAAAAGTTGGCTATGGAAACCATACGTCACTTGATAACAGTTGCTACTACTGTGATATTTTATTTTCATTCGTCGGCGTTATAAAAAGCCGCCAAAAAAAATATTGGAGAAATTGGGAAAAAAACAATACTCTGTAGGTCCATAACTTGAATAGAAAAATACAACTTTTTCTTGCCTGTACTATTCAGCATAACCATTCCTTTCTAATGATATAATGGAAAGTCATTTTTTGCCTTTCATTTTGCTTCCACGGCCTACTCGGTGAATTTCAATAATAATTTTTTTCTGATCTTGTTTCTGATTAGATACCGACTTGTGATATGTCATTAGAAAGGGAATTGAATGCTGAATAAAGCGAAAAGAAAAAAAAATAGGGTTTCCATTCGAAATAAGAAAGTTGATGTTACTTCCGCTCAGACCGGAAGTTAACTTTGACATGTCAATATGCTCAAATTTCAGCTCTTATGTCATTATATCGACGCTCCAAATTTCACAAACCTAATTCATACAATAACTGAGATATTCCGTAGGCAATACTTCCGTAGCCACCCGGTATAGCTGAATTCTATTAGTTTCCGTGAATTTTTAACCACGCTAATGGATTATGAAGCTTCCATGAGAATACACACAAAATTGAATCAGAAACTGAGAATTTTCGGTTTTTCGATGTAGGTATTGAATATAAATTGTTGGAAAAGCATTAAGAACTGTCACTGTCAATTTTTCACAATAAAAACAAAAGCTTGAAGAATGATCGACCGTTTATTGAACTTAGAACGGTGTAATTCTCAATGCCCCTCAGCATTTTTCCTGAATACAACGATGTTTATGGTATATATGTTCAATTGAATATACCGGGTGACACAGGATACATGTAACAGCCTGTCGATTTTTAGTTGAAGTGATAAAAATTTGGAATTCACAAGGGTTATATTATCGATGATGGCGCTTCCTTTGAATCCAATGAATTTTTTTTTCAACCACCTGTTTGATTGGAAGTATACCCAACTTTTTATTTTCTTCGAATGGCACCCCGTATATTTCTGTAGCCTATCCTATCCTATTAATTGGCTGTTAAATTGCATTTTATTGAAATACATGAAGTTGGCTGTGGCGTGGCCCGAATACAATGACATTTCGATGCTTGATAGGCTCTGAAATCCAAAGATCATCACTTAGACGATATTATATCTAGTGGTGCCCGCGAGAGTCTCGTTTTCGAGAGTCTCGCATGGTCTCGTCTCGTTTTCGAGACAAGACTCGAGACGAGACTCGGACTAGACGAGACGAGACTTTCATTGGTCTCGTCTCGAGTCTCGTGCAAGACTTCTTGTGTCTCGTGCGAGAGTCTCGCAGGTAAACATTTCTGCGTGCCGACTGCAGACTTGAGAATTTCATTCATGATACAACATAATTATTCAAAAAGAATTCAGACTATTTAGCACAGATAGAAAAAATATTTCAATCATAAATACTTTAAAAACACAATCTCTCTCGTGTGAATCACTAAATATCAGAATATTTTCCATACCCTAATCGGTCCCAGAAGATGGCCAATAATTTCATTGTGTTTTAAAACAATCATCCGAAAATAACTCACCCGATATATGTTTCCTAATTTTGCACAATCCTATTAAACGTGTCCAATTGTTCAGTAATGTTTGTTTAGGTTGTGATAAATCGTTGTATCTAGAAAAAAAATGCTGAATCCTACAATTCATAATTGTATCACGTGATATTGAGATTATGAGTGATTTTTAGGAATAAAACAGAAGAAAAACTAGTGTAGTATTTTGTTTCAACTAGTCTCTGTTTCCTAGCATATTTCAGAGGGGTAAGGAGCTTCATACTTTTATCAAAGATTTGCCACTAAAACTATATAAATATCATATTATCTGCAGGAAATTGGAACGCTACGAAAGGGACCGCGAAAAAGAACGCGATCGCGCCGGCCAACCTGACCCAGAACTTCTGCGCAAGCTCGACGACGCAGAAACCCTGATTCGCCGTTTGCGCAGAGAAAACTCAGACTTGCGTCGCGATACTGCCCCCCACTACTCGCCGAGAGAGATGAGCTACCACCAGCACAGGAGCGGCGAAAACGGCTTCACCCCCTCCAGATCCGGCAGAAGCCACGGCAACAGGCACCGAGGCCACTACAGAGGCAACTGGTTTCCCCCACTCCACTCGCAGAGCTACTGGCAGGGCGGTAGGGGAAGCGACAGAAGCGGCGTGCCGCTTGACGGTAACGCGTTACCCAGTTTGCCAGGCAACGAAAGTGGTTACCAGGGAAGGAGGGGGGCGAACAATAATCACTACGGCGGGGAAGGCAAAAAGTATAAAGGGGGACAGAAGACGGGGAAACAAACGTAATGGCTTCGTTATTGCTTGGGTGTTTTAAAAGGCTGTCTTTGTATTCAATAGATAGAGTACATGTTGAATAGGGTACCCAGATGGAAAAAAACTTGTTGGATGAGCTCAAATGCTGATTGGTGAGGTTGGGAAGAGGTTATGTTTTTCCTACCTGGGCTATAATATTAGATAATCATTGTGATGAGTTCATGAGTTCTGTCAACGTTGGGAGGAGTGGATGAATCAGATGTTGACAGGAGCTTGTGTGCCAAATTGGATAGTGACAGTTCAGGTATTAGTATTATTATATTGTCTGAAAATTGTCTGACCCGTCATGCTCTTGCCCTCTCATGTGCAACCCACAGAAGTCTTCAAGAGACTTGTGCGAGCAAGGAATGAGGTGGGCCTTACGTTTTTAACGTGTGATCCCAAACACTTTCTTGGGCCATCAGAAAAATCTTTGCAGTCGTTGGATTTGAAACCACGACCAGTGAGCGAACGCGATTAGAATACTTAACGCTTCTACCACGTGGCTGCCTGGTCCCCTTAACTATGTACCGAAATTAAATCTTCCAATGATCTCAAGAACAAGTCTCTCCTTACTGTGGATGTTCTTCGAAGTATCACCTTCAATAAATCAGTAATAATACGACACCATCGAAATCGAGATTTCAATATTATGGGGAGAGACATACTAGGGATATATACTCAATTCAATTCAATGATGAGACCACCGTTTATCCTGTCAGCATCTTGACAGTGGTTCATATTTCACTATATATGCTGTAGGTCCCACTCCCCTCAACTCTTCTCATCATATATTATATTTTTAACTATATATTTAGTTATCGTTTTTTGTGTCATATTGAATTCTCAATTTGATTAACAAGATTTCTGTGCAGTTGTTAGTGTAAATGCGCAAGTATACAGGGTGTTACAAAAAAACCTAACCCCCTTGCTAGAGTAGGTAGAACATTGCAACATTGCAAAATAAGTTGGGTTTGCTCTAAGAAAAAATATCGTAACGGCATCCGTTTTCATGATACAAGGTGTTGACAACATTTTTTTTCACATTTTTCACAATTATTCCGAAACTGGCAACATTGTAATGAAATTTTGTATGGATGTTTCTTGAAATCTGACATATCGCATGAATTTGTTTTTATATCTGACTCTCTTAGAGGGCGCTAGTTACACGGTTCGTACCGAGTAGTTTTGAACATAACATTTTTGAGGGTAGATTTTTTAATCCAAATTTGATGTGAAATTGAACATCATTCAATTTCACACCAAAAAGGTACTCTTGGTAAAACTCGATACTTTGTTCTGTTTGCGGAATATTTCGATTTGAAAATGATGAAGTGGTAACTGTTGCTGGTATAAAGCTATGTATTAGAGTGAGTATTATATGAAAAATTATCAACTATTTATTGAAAACCGAAAACAACAATACATTTCTGATGCAAAACTCATTGATTTACAAAATTTCATCACAATGTTGCCAGTAGTTTCGACATAATCGTAGAAAATTTGTAAAAAAATCATTTTTTCAACACCTTGTATCTTGATAACGGATGCTGTTACGAAATTTTTTTACTGAGTAAACGCAACTTATTTTGCAGTGTTCTACCTACCCTAGCAAGGGGGTTAGTTTTTTTTGAAACACCCTGTATATTCGGCCACCAAACTGTGATTTTTATTTTGATATTCCTGAAAAAATATTATTTGCCTAGTTGAATTTTTGCCTTATCTTTGCAGCACCAGTACTCTTTGTTTAGTTTATTTACGCCTGTAATATCCGAGAAATGTCAAACAACGCAGAAGAAAATAATAAAATAGTTATTTATTACACAAGGGAAAATAGTAGTAGATTTTAGCTCGATTGAGGTTGTGTATCCAACTTCATATTATTGTTCCTCATGCTTTCGAACCACCATGTGAAAAAATCACCTTTACTTCCGAATTAACAGGATTGGCTTAATTTTTTTCATTTTCAGCCTCTCGAAAAATAATGAATTCAACTGCGAATTTTGGAACGAATAGCTCCCTCCGGTAGGTAGAAAATCACCATTGAAGGAAAAACAAGTTTTGTGTTGAACTCACCATTTCCGAGTAAATAGCTCTTATACGTTATTCATAAAAATGCATTTTAGATGTGCCTGTTTTTTGAAACCCTTCATAGGAATCATACATTTTTTCAACACTTTATTAACAAAAAAATAATACAGCATTCAAAATAACTTACATTTTCAGGTTGAGGTAGTGACTAGACAGTTTATAATCAGATTTCCTCGTACTACATCTATTTTATGAAGCATTTTACATTTTCCTATTTTATGTTCCTTGAACTCAGATAGGGTGGAGCATGATTCTAGGGGGTCAATTTAATAACATATGGTATTCACAATTAGAAAAATAACAAAATCAGTCATGATAATTCACTTAATAGGGGTTTGATATCATGAAGAACACTAGTTTTGCTGTGAAAAATTTCTAATATTATTTCATAGGGAATTGACTCTTTTTGATTTTAAAGAAAACGCACAGCATTGTCTAAAATGATGTTCGTCTCGGAAAAACTGATCATATTGAAGGTTAAAGATCATATATAGGAGGATCGAGGGGCATTTGAAATTAATCACACTGATGTATATCAACGTTTCACTCTTTTATATACAGGGTGATTCAGAATTCGATGTAAATATTTTGAGGACATATTGTTGGGATCAAAATAATACTTTCTGCGGGCTGTGGGATCAAAATAAGACTTTTTCTTCTATATACAAGGTGTTTTTGAAATAAGTGCAGATATTTAGCACATTGATATGATACAGTCTAAGGAATATTTCCCATGATATCAGTTTTTTTCTGATCCTTCTAATTAACGAGAAATTTCATCCCAAAAATCGAACAAAATACAAGAAGAAAATCGAGTACGCCACTTTTAAAACAACATAAATGATTGAACTCCGCGTGATTGTGTCTACCGCATGGAAATTTGTACAGAGGTGACGTCAGATTTGCTACAATTTGGGTGGAAAAAGGGGTCTAACCTCAAATTTTATTTTGATCCCAAAATTATTTTGATTATTGCCATTAAATAGTACACGTCGAGCTTTCTCAGTCTTTGAAATATTTGCACTTATTTCAATGCCACCCTGTATAAACATGTGTCCTAAAATTCACCTCCTCCAAGCTACATCCACTGCGAGTTAGGTAAAGGAAAAATAAGCTATTCTGAAAATGTTACTAAAAAACGGATCAAATCTCCTGTAAATTGGCAGGCCCATGTTCTTTTAGACACTTAATTTCATTCTTTCTTCAAAAATAGTTTGAAGCCACTTTCGGGGGCAGTGGGGGTTGAAGAGAGGTCCTCACTTTCATTGGCTCGGGACCCATGTTTATATGAAGAAAAAATGATCCCAACAATACGTCATACGTCCATAAGATATTTCTCTCAAGGATTAGCTAACTACTTTCACTACACTACATACTCAATTATTTAGTTTTGTTTTTCTTTAACCATACAGTACAGGGTGGCCTACAACTGATGGACCCTCTCCTTAACATTTTTGTTTACGGAGATTAAACCTTATTCCGTATGAAAGAGTTGGTAATTTTTTTGTATTTCTGAATGTTTTCTAATATGCATCTGCCTTTCTTCCAAATTTGTGATCAATTTGTTTTTCTAATGTATACCACGTAATACTTTGTATGTTTTTGGACAGGTCCACAGAGTTTTTTTTCCTAACTTCATAAGTTACACAGTTGGATAAAAAATGATTGTGATATTGATGAACAAAGTTTAGTAAAATAACTCTTCAAATGGAACTTTTATCTTTATGTATAGGTAATAGCAATAGGTTCAATCACTAGAAACAATATACAATTGAGGTGGGTTTACATTTTAACAGGCTCTACCTGTACAGGGCCATTCAGAAGTGTGAAAAATTGGAAAATTGAAACGGCATTTCTTCAAATATCAAATGAAGAAAATTGTTTCATCAATATCCGATTTACTAGACCGCCGCTAGGTGTCGAGAAGCAGTATTTTCCATCGCTCGAAAAATATTGGTGATGGGTGAAACAAAGTGGTCAAAAATGATCAATCCAACTGAGTCATGGAAGTGATGATTATGTGATCTCATTTGGAATTATTGAGAAAATGTTTGTTTCACTGTTTCCGTTTTGCCGCTATGATACACGAGACATTCACTTGGTATACCGAATGTTACCATTTGTAGATAATGGATGCAATATGTGAACTGATGAATATATAAGTACACAAAATATTAATCTAACTGTTGTTGACTCTCATATTATAGTTGGTATATCATGAAATCAAATATTTATTGTACCTCATTATCTATATCTCTGTGCTGTTAATAAAATAATATATTATTATCTCTAAACTTGTGATGCATTCAAAATGTTTTATTTAAATTGTTATTGTTTTATTATTATCATCATCATAATCATTATACTGATAATATTATTAGTAGATATCATCATCATTATTATTTTTGTTGTTGTTTTATTGCTATATATTGTTTTATCGTCATATTGTCATTATTATTATTATTATTTTTTGAGTTTATATGATTCCAGTCACGACCCTGCGGCCTCCGACGTCACGCAGAGTCGTGCTGGATATTATTATTATTATTATTATTACTATTATTATTATCATTCGGAATTTGAAATTATCTGAAAAAACGTTTTTCTCTACTACCTACTGGTCGAAAATAAAATTCACAATAAAAGCAATTCACATCATATACATATTTCGCCTTCCTGAAAATGCTCTTTATGATCTTATGTGGAAAGGTCAGTGGCGTAACTATATACCATTTGAGGTGCGTGGCAAGTTCGTCAGATGAGCCTTCTCCAATATAAAGAAGCTAAACCAACAATAATATTATTAGTTTATTTTATAATACTTATTCATACACATTTACTTGTGAAAGTTTAAATAAATTACTAATAAGTGAAGTTAAAGTTACAGACTTCGCATTCAAAAAAAAAGCCCACAAGTATATTACAGAGAGAAACGTCATCCTATATGAAGGTATAATTTTATACCTAACTATTTGTAGTAAATATTGAACAGGAATCACAATTATTATTGTAGTTTGAGTACACAATTTCAATTAGAAAAGTTCCTTTCTTCGTCCTTTCTATTCAGCAAAAGTGTTAAATGACATCATCAAAGTTCAAATTTCGATGGATAGAATAACCAAGTTGCTCAACCATTTCCATAGAATTTATTGAATAAGTTTTTATCAATTTCAGTTCTGAAAATGATAGCTCGTCGGCACTAGCCGCGTGGTCACAGGAATGGTGGGAAATAACAGAAATGCATATACCCTCTTCACGGAGCTCTTCTATCATAGATATAATTTTTCTATATTAAGTCAGCAAGTTCTCTTATAGAAGATGGCGTTTCTAGGTCTGTTCGTGTGTGTTGCTGAACTCGATAAGTTGTTTGTTCCCATAGTTGTCTTTGTTCATAACATGATGTAAACAGAG